AAGAAACAGTAATAACAATTATTAAGCTATAATTATATTCCAGAAGTAAGAGTTTCAAATGCATGAAATTATTTAATAATCACATGTTTTGAGGTAATTTATGGTTGTTAATCCTATTTAATGTGCTCCATTACTGGAACTCTGAGTTAACTGACCCAGGATCACAAAGCTATTACATGGCTAACAAGTGATTCAAACGTCTCCTTGTAAGACACAAAAAGTTCTACTTAAAATTAACATTTGTAATTATTTCTTTTTGTCCAGCCTCTTATGATCTATTAGGATTGTGAAAGAAGATCTACTGTAGAAATATTGGTGAAAATTCAGTCTTTCACCCAGAGATAAAAGCGGTACAAGACTACATTCTAAACACATTTGACTTTGTGTCTTTGCCACGTCTGGATTCCAGGCACCCTGCAGAGGTCAAGGCAAAGATGACCTCCGGATCCTACAGCCACCAGTACCTTAGGCCCCAGAAAGGAACGTGCTCCAGACTTCCTGTGGACAAGCAGCAGGCAAAGAGAGGGTAGGTGTTTTTTAAGGCAGGCTGGATGAGCAGAGGGGAAAGCACGGGAGCTCTGTCATAGTTTACTCTCACTCTTACTTCAGGCACACCAAGGGACCACAGAATGGCAAAATGAGTGTGTTGGTGTTGTCATCAACAGTCTCACGCACAGCGCTCAGGCACACACAAACCACACAGGCCATGTTTCACTGTGGCTTGGGTGGACTTTCTGTTATGAGCAACTTGGAAACACAGCTAGCAATGGGAACCTGACAGAAGCAAAAGTAATGCTTGCCGGCTGTGCTGTCCTTCAGAGAGAGGAGGAAATGGAAATTCTTTGTCACAGACAATCTGAAAATCCATAAAGCATGGGAAGAAAATTACCTTTCTCCTTATATAGAATTGACCAAAAAAGGTGTCTATTAAGTTGTTTTGTAATTATTTGTACCCAACTTTTTTAAGTAGGTTACTACTCAGTGACACACTGAGATACTATTGGAAGAGGAATTTTGTGGAATTTTTGCATGGTAATTGGCATGAATGGAAAAATGAAAATAATCACTAAATTTGTACAAGAAACAGCGTCTTTCTAGCAGCTTCTCTGACAATATTAGAACTGTGTCACTGCTTCCAAATTCTGTTTCTATTGTATTGTTAAATCAACTGCAGAGCAGTATAAATTAATGTATTAGTCTCTACCACCATATAGTTTTATATCTCTTCAAATTATAAAAATAAACATGGATAAGATGTTTCCTTGGTCCCAACATTGTGATTCTGACTGATAAAAGCAACTGACATGGCCTTACAGCGTGGATCCACAAGGTTCTTAAATCATGTCTTGTCTTTCCTTTTTAAATTTTGTTTTATTAGTACACGTTTGCAGTGCATGCATTTTATAATCATTTTGGGGAGCTGGTACACATTCATAATAGTTTGTTCCTTTTTAAATCCCCTTCCCCCTCCCTCTGACTCTAGTTCCCCCCTTTCATTCTTGTTGATATTATTAATCTTAGCTCATGTTAATGGTATATAAACATTCACGGAGGTTATTAGGAACTTGTACCTGGCATAGCATCACTGTAGCTATTTCCCCACCCCTTCACCCTTGGTTTCCGGAATCTTCTTCCCTCCCGTTCCCCTCTGTCCTTCTAGCCTTCCTTTTTCTTTTAGTTTGTACTTTGCCTTACTCAGATGAGAAATACCATACAGTATTCAAGTTTGTGTGTCTGATTCTGGCAACCAAATTCACAGAAATTAATTTATCTGATCATGCTTGGGTTTGTTAATGCTACATGTTTTCTTTAAATACTGAGGCACTTTGAATGCTCCTTTTTTGCGAACTTACACAGTCAACTTTAAACAGTCTGGGTTCTTTGTAGAACCAGAGTGTTAGTATTGTCACATAACCTATTTTCAATTTTGTTTTGATTTTCCCAGCACCTTAACTGTTTTGACCTAAATACTTACTTAACGGGAACACTGAATGCTAAAGTTCTCATTGTGGGTAAAATTTTCCTGAAATGCCCAAACTGACTATAATAGAAGTTATGAATGTAAAGCATCTACATTTGCCTGTATGTGTAGTGTTTAGGTTAGCTTTTATTTTCTTCTGAATATTACAAGCCAGAGTTTTGCTTAGTTCACCTTAAAAGAGAAATAATTAACAGCGAACATAGGAAATCTTCGATGTTGTGTACATATTCATCCAGAGACCAGTCTTGCCTATCTTCCCTTTCATCAGTAATTATCTTGGTCCTTCACCTCCGCATTCTCTGACTCATACTGATAACATCTCCAGTTCAGGGTTACTATAATATAGTTTGCATGTATCAGGGAATTGACTCCAGCTTCTACAATCGCTGAGTCACAAAACTGCAGTCAGAATCTTTTTTGCTTTACCACATAACGGAAGCAGACGAATCATTTCATCACTCCTACCCCAAATTGCCTCTGTCTGAGCTGAATGTAGGTCATAAAAGACAGGTCTGTGATGACAGCTGCCATGATTTCAGGGTACCTTGACTCCTTTGTGACAAATTTAACCTTAGCCGCTATGAAACAAGTCTTTTATTCCCTATTATTTAAATAGAAATTTGCCACTATAACAAAAATATTTTCAATAGCATAGTGAAACACCTCTATAGACCTTATGCTATTTATCTCAAAACTAAACTGCTATTATCCTCCTCTCCAAGGTGAAGAACACAAGCTCAAAGTTTAAAAAGCTTCCTCAATATGGAGTTGAGTCCATAGGTTATTATAACTCTAAAGTCAGTGGCTCCCAGCTACCCAAATATCAGCATCACCTGTAAGGTTATACCTACAGATTTCTAGGCCCCATGTTCCACAGGTGTGTCCTGGGTAGTTTCCCTCTATAACTCTATTACCTGCTATTTGTGGATCATTTTTATTTTCTAGGTGGATTTCAGCCAAGAAAGGAAACTGAACCAAATTATTTTATTTTTATAAGTCAAGGGAGATATGAATGTATAATAAACACAGCGACATATCTTGATTTGCTTCTTATCTCCTTAACTGTTTCTTCAGGCAAATAATATGGAAAGAACAGGAAACAAAGGATTTGGTGGCTGCAGCAATGGGCTTGCAAATTGCCTCTGGAGAGCGGAGAGGAGAAGCCCTGATTCATAGCACCTGCTGATCTCGGTGGTGTAGTGTTCCCACCATGGCCAGTTCCAGACTAGTAATGACTCAACAACCTGTTCACAAAATTCCTGAACATTAAACAACAGACCCACGAGCCAGCTACAGCATAAAACAGGGGAATATGCAAGGGGGAAGCTCAACAATTTCCCAGCATAATCTAAATTAGATGGTTTGAATTGGTGTGAACACGCCAAACATCACGGTCTAGTAACCTCAGTACACTTACACGTGTCCCCTCGGTCCTCATTTCTCACTTGTTGCCAAGGAAATGCTCTGCTAGGGCTGTGGGGCCTAAGAAAGCCACGAATGAGCCTGGTGGATGCAGCGCTCGGTGGAGGAGAAGCAGACGCCATCTTCAGGATGACTGCGCTCTCTCACTGGCAGGGGATGGGAGCGCTCACCCTGCTTGAGAGCACCATGGTTTGAAACAGGAACGGAAAGGTAAATGAGACTTCGAGAAACTTGGCTCTGAGCCTGAGAGCAAAAGCCTGCGTCTTCCTGGGCCCCCGCTCACCACAGCAAAAAGATGTATTTAGATTAGAGATCAAAGCCAACACTAGCAGCCCACGAGCACAGAGCTGAAGAAACCCCTGGCCGGATGCACACGGAGGGGCAAGCTGTGACCAGGCCCGGGGGGCACAGTCCTGCCTGTCGAGGGGTGACTTTACGCGGCACAGCCACCTCGGATCACTGACGGCGGCAGTGTGACAAACACGGAACCCTGAGCCTGTTACCGCGGCCCCTGAACGTTACACAACAGACCCAGGAGCCAGCTCCAGCATCCAACAGGCGAATATGCAAGGGGGAAGCTCAACAATTCACACTATATAATGGATAATTTAGATTATGCTGAGAAGTTGTTGAGCTTCCCCACTGCGTGTACAAAAGTGTCAGAAGCATATTCCAAAGCCAGACATAAATGATTCTAGGATCACCATTTTAGATTTGTTCCTCTGCTGAACTTCCGCAAGTCCGGAGACAAATGCACATGGAACTATAACAAAGCTATGTGATCCATCCTGGAGCTCCTTGGGTAGCTCATCTCAACACGGCTCTGTGTAAGGATAAGTTTATTTTGAATGCTAACACATTCTCATTCTGGTTGAATCCGTTTGTACAGGGATTGTACAACACTCCGTTTTCCTGGCTAGAAAAGAGAGGTAGCTATTTCTCTTCCAAGAAGGCAAAGTGGAAAACTGACTCCCAGATGAATCAACCAGAAAGAATTCAATCATTGTAGGTCTTAAATTTAACAGAAAAACTCTAGAGAAGAGAGTGTGGGTGGATCTAAAGTATGATTTAGATTTCATTCACCAGCCCAGAGCTTTTGGGCCAGTCACTTAGTCAAAGTCTGTTTTCCCGTCTACAAATTGGTAATGTACACTAACTTGCACAGTAGTATCTACTATGTCCTAAGCACATTTATCATGTTATCTTTAATTATGAAAACCAACCTTCAAGAGTTAACTTGGAATTCAGACTCCTATAGGGATCCAGAGATGACACCAAAAATTAACAAGCAAAACCTCACACACATGTATGTGTACCTGTGCATTTTTATTTGAGTTCTCAGGGAAATGCTGAGAATTTCGGTATCTGGAGCAAAGACAGAGGTGGGGGTGGTAAAAGGGCAGGTGTGTGCGGTTTGGAAAAGCCTTGCATGGTGGTTTTGATGTTCACTACCCAGTCTGGCTTATGAGATACCAACTTAGACACAGAGAGTTTGTGATGTTGATTTGGACGTACCGTATACTCAAAGTAGGTGTAAAGGTAAATTAAAGGTTGAGTTTCCTAGGTACTTTTCCAAAGAGAAGGGTTCACACACAAGTAGGAACAGCAGCTTTATTCATGTCAGTCTCGAACTGCAAATAACACGAAGTCCACCGGTGGGATGAACAAATGAGAACAGGCATGCCAAACCACAAAAGACTCTCAAAAATACACTAAGCAAAAGCAAGGCATCGGGGATGACTCCATTTTTATAACACTTTCCCAAATGAACATTTCTGACAGAAAGCAAATTAACAGCTGCCTTAGGGAATAAGGATGAAAAGATTGATTGCAAAGAAAATGTCAACACTTTCAGAGGTGCCGGAAGCGTATCTTGATTGCGGTCGTAGCTTCACAGATGTATACATCTGTCCAAACTCACTGAGCTATAGTATCTAACATTTCCAGTCAACTCTACATAAAAGCATCCCTTAGTAACATGGTAAAAATTGGATTAGCAATCGCAGCTCCTCAGCACCATCAAATCTCCTGAGGCAGTTCTATGCTTCTAAGACTACTGAGCCCTCAGCTCAAATCCATGTCCTTTGAATTACTCTGCTAGTACAAGTGCACAAACAGTGAGGGTTCCTCAAACTATTTTCCCCCTGCACCATGGAGTGTTTAAGATAGAGGTAGTCTACGGCATACTGCAGAATTAAATCATCAGACAAGAAAGCCAGTAGGATCAGGACCGTGCCTCACGAAAACCATACCCTAGTCTAGCTGACACCTGGTAGATCAACTCCATGTGTGATTCACTGTAACAGGCACATCCAGATAGTCTGCACTGCAGGTAACATACATGTGAGTTAATGCGTAAGTCCCTGAACGTTTGCTACAACTTCTTTACTACAGACAGCTGGTCACTGAAAACTGTCTGAGTCAACTAAACTAGCCAGCTTCTTAAAAGGGAGAAAGTGATGACTATTTTTAAGCTTCTACAAGGGACAGTTAAATTCTGAAATTATTTTACAACCAATATACCTCAGAACACACTTGTCTAGAAGACAATGTATGTTCTAAAATGCAGTCATTTCATAATTAAACTTTTATTTCCATGTTTAATGTATCAGTAAGTTTCTCTATCAACACACTATTTTAAAAATTCAGTGGAATATAAGCAAGTATTTGGATGCCTATAATTCTTTACAACCTCACATGAGATCTTTAACAAACTTACTGTGAACCAATGATTCACAAAAGCACTTTTGACCAATTTAAGCACTTTAGCAGCATTAATATTCTGTATATTTTATCTTCAGTACTTTTTATGTATGATTGTAAAAATCTTATGTTTTATAAAGATCTTTATTTTTAGAAATAAATTTGTGATTTGTAAAATAGAGTAAGACAATGGAATATCCTATGAGTGAATACCATCAAAGTTTGTGTTAGATTTTTAAAAATGAGCCTGCTTTAAAAATTCCATATTTGTCCTACATTTACATAAATAGTTGTAGATTTAGCTGCATTGCATTTTGACAGCTGTAACAGACTTATAACTTTTGATTAACCTGCCCTCAGTAGAATGCTTCTAAAAGATAACTGCTCTATATAATAATCTTCTGGAGAAGACACACTTAAACAATTTTTATTTCAAAACATCTACAAAGTTTTAGTTCTCCATTATACAAATAATTTTTCAAAATTGAGACATTATTCAAATGTAACCCAAAGTTATACAAATAGAATACACACAAAGATCAAAAATATATATAGTCTCTCACCCAACTGTGTTACATAAATAAGAAAAATATATACAGCTGGTAATTTCAAAGTACAATCATCTTAAATAATGCTGCATCCATATAAAGAAGGTACAAAAATAAACACTAAAGCAAAAGGTAAACGAACAACAAATTCATTGTATGACATCTATAAAGATAGAAAGAACCAATCTCAGAGGACACTCCACATTTGGATCTTAATTTTACTTCACTTCTTCTCCTTAGAATATTCTCAGGATGGGAGAAATTCACAATTCTACCAGCTATCGCTGACCCGTAATAGAGAAGAAAAACATGCGGAAATACATAATCTATGTCTTTGTACTTTGGGATAGATATAAAAGAATTTTTTAAAGTTAAATTTGTACAAGCCTAGGTTAAGATTTTCCAAGTAAAATGAACTACTGAAAAAAATCAAATAATTTCAGTTAGAAATACCAGAAGATTCAGACAATCCAGAACTCTTAACACAGTGATCAATAACGAAAAATTATGCCAATGGTTCTGTGCATAAAAAAACAAACCCAAGTAGGTTTACATTTTGCCCCAGAAATTCTCCTTCCTTTTCTGAGCCCGTGTCAGAGTTTGAAAAGCGCGGACACTAGAAGCTGCAGAGCGAGCAGAAATCTCAGACAATCTGTCCTCATCTGTAACAGAACAGTTCCAAAATTCATTCAGTGCAAAAATATTTCCTAAACAAATATTGTATTTTGCTAACATTAAAGAAATTAAAAGTATCAAGCCTTATATCAATGTTGGGTCTATCAGAAAAATTATCCATCAATGTAAGATGTTTAACACTTTCATATTTCATGGTAATTTTCCGAGTTTATCATATATAGGTATTGAACAGTTTGACATTAAGTGAGCATTTTTCCATTCTGAAATCCCATAATGTCATTATTGACAGCTTATGCTTTCAGTATTACTTGGAAGCAGTTCATCATGAATTTGTCTACTTTCAAAAGTAATTATTTGGGGCAAAAAGCTTTTTTAAAATTTTTAAAAACAAAAGCTTTACCTTAACATGGTATCTATATCACATTTCTAAACTAATCTCATGAAATACAGAAGTAGTATTTGACTTTAATAAGCTATCCTTATTATTTAAATTCCCTATTATGAGTAAGCACATCTATTATAAATGTATTTATAAACACTGCTCCTCCCCTAAAAAGAAAACAGAGATTCAAAATTACAAGATACTTTGCATTTGAAAATATAACCATTTAATTTCTAGTCTCATTGAATCCTGAAAACAATGTCCCCAAACTTGCTAAAGAGAATACTTTCAATATATGTAAAGTATTTAATATATAAAATATTAAATTCAAATTTATTTCCCAATTTTGATTGTACAAGAATTCAAAATTCTTCCTGCCACTATTAGAAGCAAATGGTTTATCAGAAAACTACATAGCAAAAAAAATCTACTTTCCTAATTATATTGTTCTGAGTGTACTGAAAATTGATAAAAATACAGATATTTGGAAAAATATGGATAGAATGTGACAATACTCCTGAATCCCCAAACTGAATAGAGTACAAACACGGAAAGAGCCTGAGCACTGCTGAGATGTAAGGCGTAGTCTCTTGGCAATTTTCCCTAGAAAAGACTTCACTACTTCCGAGTTTACTCACTTTTAAATGGGGATTATTTCACCCATCACAGGATTTCAAGGATCCAACAAAAAACACATGTGGAAACACTGTCAGCCATGAAGTGCTGATCAAATATAAGATCATTTACAATCACGAACTACCATATAATAAAATCTCACGTTTTCTCGGTATCTTACGTAACTACTAAAATACCTTCATTGTTAAAGGCTTCACGCTGAGGTAACTGGAAATTGTTCATCCTTGCTTTTCCCACTTGAAAAAAAAGAAGGCAGAAAAAATTACCCTTCAAAGCCATAAAGAGCATGTAACAGTGACGCAGTCTGAACGCCCGTCCCTCCAAAGTTCATGTTGAAAGCGAACTGCCATCTAGACGGCGCCGGGGCGGGAGGCCTTTCGCAGTGTTGGCCACGAGGGCTTTCGCCTCCTCCTCCTCTCTCTCCCGCTTTCTCTTCAATGCGCCAGGGAATGCTGCAGCAAGAAGGCCTGTGCCAGATGCAGGCCCTTTCCCTGGCATCTCCCGGCCTCCAGAGCCATAAGCCAACGCACTTCTATGCACAGTGGACTACCCAGTCTCAGGCATGCTGCTATAGCAGCACAAAGCAGACTAAGATAATTACAGTAAATTCTCAATAAAAGTACACGAGCAGAAACTTTACTAATTTTTCAATCTTGATAGAAGTTACTACCAAAGGGCCACTCATTAATTTGTAGTGTACTTAGCACATATGCAGACCATAAATAACCTCCAAGAATTCAGTGTTAATACTAATCTAACTGTAAAGAAATATACGATAAATAAATGAATGAATTAATACATAAATAAATAGAACACAACAAAAAGGGCCGGGGTGCAGCTCCACGGCACAGCGCTTGCCAGGCAAGCACAAGGCCCTGAGTTCAATTCCCAGTACCAAAAAAAAGAAAGAAAAGAAACACAGTGCACATCTCTTTGGAGATGACAGATTAAATACACACATTTATAAAAGTGATATAAAGTCACAGGACAAAGAAACTGGAAGACAAGAAAACAGTGAGGAATTTTTAGAAAATGAAAAAACCGAAGGGGAGGAGCCTGCAGTGACGCCCAAGCACACCGAGCTCCTAAACCAGCAAACAAGTGAGCCTGGGGGAAGGTCATCTGCCCCCCAGTGGCGGGGTGTGGCAGCACTAAATCTCCCGCAAGCCAGGAAACGTGAAAATCTTTCTACAAGGCAGGTGAGACACTAGATTCTTCTCTAAATTTACACAGCTGCGTGACTGCTCTCTCCCAAACAGAGTGTGGGGCTCTTGACTCCAATGCTTCTTAGAGCTACTGCGAGTGGACACCAGGCTCACCCGAGGGCAATGGCACCATACTCAAAACGCATGTACATATGCCATACATTTTCTCTCTTCAAACAGATAAAACACTCTGTCCATGAAATAAGAACAGGATGCTATATAAAAAGTTTGCAGTATTAAAAAGTTCTTAAAAATTAAAAATATCATAGAAAATTTTAAAAACAAAAGAGACAAAAATTAACACTTTCAAATTAAAACAAAAAATTGTGGAAGAGTTCAAATTAAAACAAAAAGAGGTGGACAACAGAAAAAATAATTATGTCTAACATCAGTGATGGCGGGGCCAGAAAGTGGAAAGGAAAGATTACTAGTTAAGAAAATTTCCCAGAAGCAAGAATTTTCAAGACTGAAGGTCTCCAGAGTACCAGGAAAACGAAGGTTCGGGGCCCACTTGGAGACACACCACTGTATCACCAGTGCAAAGACAAAGTCCCAAAGCTGTCGGCAAGAAAAACGACGTACAGAAGACGCAGGGTGAGACAGCACAGGCCTGCTCGGCACTCACAGTGGAGTTTAGGGAAGAGTAAGGCGAACCCTCGTAAGACCACAGAAAGCCACTTTGGGTCTCGCATGCCACACACAGGCACACTCAGCACTGGCCAGCGAACTCTGGGGAGTCACACCCGCAGAGGAGGGGCCGACTCTCGCCAGCGGGTCACCCACAGGTGTACAGTAAGAACTCGAGAGACACCTCACACTTCTACACGGTGAAAAGTGAACTTGGTGCAGCGCAATCAGTGTCTTAAAGAGACTTTTTCCTACTTAAAGATCTATTAAATTAACTAAAAACAAAAATAATTTATTAATATAGAGCATACTCTTATTGCACTTTAGCAGTGTCACTTTCATTTTAAAAGACAAAAAGTTCAAAGCAAAAAGAAAGAAAGTTACCATTATGCTGAAATTCTGGATCTCTCAGAGATCCCTGAATCCGACGAGAAGGGTGCCAGAATGGCGGGGTACACAGCGGAGAAGGCGGCTCTCCCTGGGGATTTGTTGGATATTCTGGGATTCTTGAAACCGGAAGAGTTGTCTCAATAAATCTGGGGATATTGCCTTCAGAGTCCTCCCTCAAAGGCAGAGGATCAACTGTTTTTATACCAGCAGCAGGAGAAGTGAGTAGCGATACAGCACGACTTCCTTTCTAAATGACAAAAAAGACACACACGTGGGCATATAGGAAGAAACCAAACATTCAAATGAAAAGAAAAGTAATAAGTAGAAATATGAGGAAAATGCATGCAACCTCCATGGGAGGCTAGGCTGCTGTTATAAAAGCAAAACAATCAACATAAACAGATTTAACTGGATAAAAAGAAAGAATATAAATATGTCTAAAATTAAACTAAAAACTTAACACATTTGGGGAAAATATACAATGTATATGACTGACAACAAATTATCACCATTGCTACATAAATATTTCTTTAAAAGTAATAAGGAAAAGATAGGCCCAGAACTGAGCGCACAGCCGGGTGGGCTGGGCGGGCGGCGGAGTGGGAGCGGGCATGTTTGCGACCGCGGGCGAGGGCTGAGGTCCAGGGGCGGGCATCGGCTCACGGACGTCCCGAGCTCGCGGCCGTCCTCTTGCGGCCCTTTTCTGGAAGTGTTTGAGCCTGTAGAGTGTCTCCGATCAAGCACCTAGTTTATGCAGTTATTCGTTTCTTATGGGAACAAAGTCAGATGGACGCTTGTACTTCTGATGAACAAGGAAGCTTGGAAGTTGCAATTCAGTGCCGGGAGACGGTTTTTAAGATCAGCCCAGAAGATACACATCTAGCAGTTTCACAGCCTTTGACAGAGGTGTTCACAAATTCCTTCTGTAAGAACGACATTCTGCCCCTCTCAAGCTTAGTGCCTGAAGATGTGGGAAAAGCTGACCAATTAGAAGATGGAGGCGATAACCACAGGAAAGGAGGAAATTACGCGGCTGCAGCAGATCGTTAGACACAGGCAACAGAACTGGATCCCAATAACGCGGTTTACTATCGCAACAGGCCTGCTGCACAAAGCAAATTAAGTCCCTACACAGATGCAATAAAAGATGGTGAAGAAGCGACAGCAATTGATTCAAAGTAGAGCAAGGCCTGCGGGAGGATGCGGCTGGCCCTTACTGCCATGAATAAATTCGAAGAAGCAGTTAGAAGTTATCGAAAGGCATTAGATCTTGACCCTGAAAATGATTCCTATAAATCAAATCTGAAAATGCAGAACAGAAGTTAGGAGAGGTATCTCGTCCTACAGGGGCTGGATCGAGCTCTGACGTGGCAGCTTGAGAAACAATCCCACTTTCATCAGTACGGCAGCAAGTTTAACGCAGAACCCTCAAGTGCAACAGCTCCTGTCAGGAATGATGGCGAATGCCACTGGGGGAGCTGCTGCTGGAGCTGGGTCTGACTGACCTATGAAGTCTCATCCAAGCGGGACAGCAATTTGCTCAGCAGATACAACAGAATCCTGAGCTTATAGAGCAACTGCGACATCACATCCGGCGCGCGGCACTCGGCAGCAGCAGGAAGAGCACTCCTGACTTGACCAGGGTGTTAGCTCAGAACGAAAATGGGTTGCGGCTATCAAGTCCTCAGTGCAGATAGCAGCCAAAAACAGAACAAAACAAAACAACAACAAAAAGCACAAAATAACAGGAGGAACCCTCTTGTGTGTATTCTTAAGGAACAAATCTGCTTAGAAAACAGGTTCATCATGGAGACTGGAGCATGACTCCTGGGGAAACGAACGCTCGCGAGCTTGTTCAGTGCCGGGACCACACTCGAACAAGGTTCCGTCCATTTCCAGTCTTTCATCGTATTCGCACATTAGACTTAACAGCAGAGCATGTTTTTTGAATTGTAGTGCTGTTCATTGGTCAGTTCTTTAGCTCCAACTTCCCCTATGCAAAGTGTTTTGAGAGGGGACACAAGGGGAAGGTTTGCCCTACTGGTTTAGAGGAAATGCCGAGCAGCACGTGGGGATGAAAGAACGCATAATTTCAGGCTAGCTTTGGTAAGTGCTGCCCATAATGAACATACATCAGAGGTGCCGGCACTACCTTTAATGCTCCCTGTGATGAGTGATGGGGACTCTCAAGGGCTGGTGGAAAGCAGAATTTGGTGCAGTGGATATTTGGAAGAGGAGAAGTAGAGAATGTGAATGTATAGGAAGCAAAGGTAGGATGCTCAGGTTTTCTGCATAGTTCTAAGTAATCTTGTCTGTACTTTTGATAACACTAGCATGGCCTAAAATCCATTTAGAAGTCCTTAATGGTACCAGTTAGGTCAGTGATGTAACTGTTCAACTTAATTACCCACCTCCCTGGCTGCACACTTACCTCAGAAACTACCAAATACATCTAAGGAGCACACAAAGCCAACGGCTGGACCCGAAGGTCAGGGTATTCTAAGTGGATTTTAATCATGTGCCCGTGAGCATCGATTTAATAAAAATAATTATTTGGCAGATGACAAAAACACCGCTAACACTGCTTGCCCGTACAGTCTGCTCGTACAACTCCGCGCAGTGCACCAGTCTTACGCTAACCTTAATTTGATGAAATTTAAACATCGGATTTAAAATGTTTTATTCTGAATTACAGGCCATATTGGTTGGTGGAGGGAAATGGCATTAGGTATTAATGGCATGGCTGTAAGAACAATGGTGGATGAGATCTAATTCCAGCTGAAACTTCTTGTTTATAAATCATGAAACTGGGGAAGTGAGGTTGACGTGATGATTTCACAAGTGTTGTGAGGGAAGACTGAAAAAGAAAGTAAGGTAAAATTAAATCAGTAAAGATGTGCTAAGGGCCTTACTCTATTTTCAAAAGCCTATTTGGTATCTTGAAAGTTTAATACCTAATCTTTTCTTTTTTTCCCTTTGTGAGATTAGAACAGTGGTTCTACTTTCACTATAAATGTCACCTGAGAGAATTCACTAAAAAATGCAGATTTAAGGTCATACCTTCAATTTTGATTTAGTAGGTGTTCTATTAAAACTTAGGAGCTGGGCATGGTGGTGCATACCTGTAATCCCAGCACTCGGGAAGCTGAGGCAGCAGGATCATTATGAGTTCAAGACCAGCCTGCAAAGTGAGCTCAAGGCCAGCCTGAACTGCATAAGGGGACCCTGTCTCAAAAAGACAGAAAAAACAACAACAAAAAAATCACCTAGGAATCACTTTTTTCAGGGTGAGGGGCACACTGGGGATTGAACCCAGGGGTGCCTTATCCCTGAGCTACATGGCTAGCCTTTTTATTTTGATATAAGGGCTTGTTAAATTGCCCAGGCTGGTCTTGAACTTGTGATCCTCCAGCATCAGCTTCCTGGATATCTGGAATTACAGGTGTGCACCACCATGCTCAGAAATCACTTTAAGGACCATACAGTGTGGTTCTGAGGTAGGTCTAAGGGCTTAAACTTGTTTGTTGAAACAGGGTCTTGCAATATAGGTCAGGCTGGCCTAAAACTTGTGGCAATCCTGCTTCGGTCTTCCAGGTTGCTGCGACTGTAGGAGTGTGCCACTATTCCTGGCAAGAGCTTACATTTAGAGCAGCACTAGGATAGAGGTTTCTCTCTAGTTAGACCAGCAAATGCCTAAGCACCGAGGCCCAGGCTAAAATGAAGACCTGTATTAACATGCAGTTTTGACCAGAGAAGATCAGCACTTAACTCTGAGGCCTTCTGAAATTAAACCTAAACTATCTTAATTTGCATGAACTTACACTCAGCTTAGTGTTTTAAATGTTACACAAAACAAAGTACTAACCACAAAACAAAGTTACTACTGTGATAAAAGCAAAGTTGGTCCTTAATTAAGAATTAATAGTTATTCTTACCTAGTGTTAAGAAATTAGCATTTCCAGTGCAATTATTTTCAATTCATTAAAAATATTTCAGAGCTGGGCACAGTGGTGCATGCCTGCCATGCTGCAAGGCTGAGGCAGGAGGATTATAGGTTGGAGTCAAGCCTGGGCAATTTAGCGACTTAGTGAGACCCTGTCTGAAAATTAAAATGGGCTACAGATGTAATTTAGTAGCCCCTGGGTTCAGGTCCCATTCAATATCCCGCCACGCTTTCAGGTCAGTAAAACTGGTAAGCTTCTAGTTGACTGACTAGGCAAATAGAAAATACAGATTAACAGTACCAGTGATGAAAGAACAGGACCAGGTAAAGCCCTCAGCAATAGTGTGCTTGCTGAGCATGTATGAGATCTGCAGTTCCAGCCCCAGTACCATTCAAAAAAATGGAAATAAACAGATATATTGTAGACATTAACAGCATAATTAGAGTGCTCACTCAGGTAGCACATATACTAAAAAAAGCCTAATTAGAAATACTACTACTAACTCTAGATCTATATATTCAACAACTTAGATGAAACAACCAATGCTTTGTGGGATACAAATAACCAAAGTTCACTGAAGACAGAGATACTTGAACAGGTCTATATTATGTTGAGAAAATTGAATTTATAGTTACCAACCTTCCAAAAAACAGAAGCCCAGATGACTTCGGTGGTGAATTCTACCAAATACTCAGGGCAGCTATGTCAGTTTTATATAATCCCATCCATGAAACAGACGAGGGAAGCACTTCCCACCTGAGTTTATTTGGCCAAATAACAAAATCGACATTTAAAGAACAAACACTTCTTTAAAACCTTGTCTTCATGTGTTACTATCCGTAGAGTTAGCCATTCTTTTTACCTGAGTAACGAATGGGAACTGGTGTATTTCTTCCCTTCAGTTTTCTAGGTTGATTCTTTGGGAATATACCAGCTCTGATAAATTCAACTTAATACCTGTCCACCTGCACAGATTTCTACTGTATTCAAGCCATTTTTGTTCTTCAGGTCCCTTCATCACTTTGGAGTCACTGCATTGCACGCTATTCCATGAACGTTTGGATTGGTCTGATTGTATCAGTCACTCTTCAGAGTACACAGAATGTTCTCAATATTATTCTTCCTTGTGTGGAAAATGCAGTTGCTATCCAAGAGAAATACGGGCACTAAAGTAAACCTTTACATTCCTTTTAATTAGGAATGTGTGGCTTTCACTAACTGCATTTCACTGTAGTAGCTGTAGCTGTTCTGTAAAACTGAACACGTCCTCTTTATGCAAATGACACTTGTATTTAATGTACCA